TGAAGAAAACAAGGATTACTCTAGCTCTGGGAGAGTGGAGTTCTTGCCAGTTCAAAATGGCAGTAGTACACAGAAGATTGAAAATATCATAGAAAAATAATCCTAGAACATAATGAAGCTAGGAATAATTTTGTCTCAAAAAGTTCATTTGAGACATCTGATCATGTAATGCTGCTGGAATAGACAGTAGTCTAGTATTGTCAAGTAAAAAAATGGCTCACTATTTCTTACCCAAAAGTTATTCTGGGTAGGAACTGAACAGTAGTTGAAACTCAGCGACGTAAGGTTAGGGAAAAAAGACTAGAAAAAAGTAGAATATTGAAATGTGGTATTATGCAGCTGCAGTAATAGTACGATATTTACAGAACCAATAACCTTCTCTGAAATTCATACATATGAATTGCTAGAAAGTATTTACAATGGAAACTGCACAAAGAATTTGTTTGCAATTTTTGGTTATATGCTGAGTTTTTAAAAAGTAGTTAAATTATCACTACTCATTGGTTAATATACTTTGTCTTTAGTATAGTAAATTCTTGATGAAAAAAGGAAGGTTCTCCCTTTCCCCGAAAAAAAATCATGGAAATAAGATTCTGTAGTATAAAAATATAGTATAAACTAATATTATAAGCCTATGTTATTTCCAATGTGGAAAGAATGATACCACAGTTCAACATTTATATTCATGTTTTTTTGTATTTTTATCTGAAGTTTAATTAATGATCATTTTCCCTTTTTTAAAAATAGGATGACATTTACATGTATGGAGGCAAAATTGAAACAAATACTGGTAACGTCACTGATGAACTATGGATTTTCAACATACCAAGTCAGATCTGGAGCCTTCGAATTCCAGCAATGCTTGTTCATGGCCAGCAATATGCAGTCGAGGGTCACTCAGCACACATAGTGGAACTTGACAGCAGGGATGTCATCATGCTTGTAATTTTTGGTTACTCTGTAATATATGGATATACAAGCAGCATTCAAGAGTATTATATCAGTAAGTTGCCTTTTCATTTTTTTAATTGCTTTTTTCTAAAAAGCTCAGGACGTGAACCTCTGAGACAAGAGAGAATAAGGAATAAACTGTACTTATACCTACTATCTGATATTTTTTTAACCTATCATATATGGGCATCATTCAGTTTGTATAGGAATTCTAGTATAGGAAATAAAGTAATGAGAGTTTTAAATCCTCTTCTTCTATTAATATGCAGTTCTTGGTTTTTTTTATATGTATTAACCAAAAATTTAATTTTAATTTTAATACAATGGTATTAATTACATGGTAACAGCTATACTAACTTGAAAAAAAAAGAAAAAAGGGATAAACTACCATATAGGAAACACCTGTTTTAAATCAAATTGGAAAAAAAAAACAATTGCAATATTGTAAACAAAAAAGTTGTTAAATATTTTTATATTCAACAGTACTAATTCCAATTTTCTAAGGAAATTGCTGCCACAGAATTCCTTAGTTTCAATTGAAGTATTACAGTTGGATTTGGTTTTGTATATGCTGGTTTATATAATTTGATTTAAAACAGGTGTTTCCTATATGGGAGGTTATCCCTTTGTTCTTTTTTTTTCAAGTTAGTATGGCTGTTCCCTTGTAATAAATACCATTGTATTAAAATTAAAATTAAATTTTTGGTTAATACATATAAAAAAAACCAAGAACTGCATATTAATA